TGCTCTGAGTCTTCTCAATAGGGTTGTACAATATTCTTCCACTGGGCCGGATGTACACTACACCAAGGTTGCTAGTCAGCCAGAGGTCTAATGAGCTCCCACCTTTTTAAAAAAATTACATGTTTTTCAGCTGAATGCCTGAAGCTAAAGATAATTTGGCACCCTTTCAGAGAAGACCATCATGGTCAGTCCTTTATGCCACAATTATTGATTTGTTCGACAATGTTAATGACGGTGTAGAGGAGCGTGGTCCAACAGGTGGCCCATGGGCTGCATCCAGTCCAGGGATGATTTTATGCCAACATTTCATCTTCCGCTCTGTCCCTCTCTGTTGAACGTCCTCCTATGGCAGCGGCAGGAGTCGGCGGTTGGGAGGACGCACTGTGGAGAGTTGAAATAATACCCGCCGTTACTGCAGTCTGTCAGGAAGGCAAGCGTGGCTCTTACCAACCGCATCCTTAGCAACCGCTGGCTCCTGCTGCAGATACAACAACAACAACTTGCATTTATATAGCACCCTTCACACAGTAAAGCGTCCTGGAACACTTCCCGAAGAGATAATGATTGCCACTTGGCTGATTGGGAAAGAAAGGGATTGAGAGTGGTGGAGGGAGAGGGAGAGAGGGTGGGGGGAGAGAAAGAGGGAGGTAGCGGGAGAAAGCGTTGGACATAGAGAGGAGAAAGGAGGGGGCGCGAAGGAGGTTGGGGGAGAGAAAAGAAGAGAGAGAGTGTGTGTGAGAAAGAAGGGGTAGAGAGAGAGGTGGGGGGGAGAGGAGAAGAGTGTCCCTTATGCCCCCTCCCTCCCCCTGTCCTCCCTCCCTCCCTCCCCCTGTTCCCCCACTCCCCCCACCACAGTTGCAATGTTTTAAATGGTCTTGGGCCAGATGCGGCCCGTGGGCTGCCAGCTGGGTCACGATGGATGTGGCCCGTGGACCTTCTCAAATAGGGAATCCAGCCTGCGGCTGCCACAAGGTTGGACCACCCTGGTGTGCAGGATGCACGGAACTCTGTTTGTTTTGAATACTCTTAAGCAATGGTGAAGGGTTTCCACATGTGTCAGATACCTGGCTAACCAAAAACAAATTTATTCAAAGGGAAAAACTGCTTCCAACTATTCTCTCTTTCAGTGTATATTTGTTTGCACTGATCAGGTGCTGTTTGTCCATTTGATAGCGAGCTAACCACGACACAGACATGGCTTGCAGTTTCCTCACAGAAAGCTCCCTCTTATCCCAGTGAGAAACCCTAAGACCATCATTCCCCTCCCCTTCCCCACCGTACTCCACCCCTTTGATTTGCGTCATTAACACCTCTTTAACCCATCATCCTCTGTCTTCTACTCCATTTTCTCCTTTGTCTTCCTTGCCCTGCCTCTCCTCTCTCTGTTAGCCCTTAAAAGTCTCTCGCTCTCAACATGCCCCAGTTCTGACAAAGGGTCGTGGATCCGAAATGTTGACTTTCCTTTCTCCATAGAGTTGCTGAGTGTACCCAGCTACTTCTGATTTTGTTTCAAGACCTAACTCTTTGATAGCGCTTTCAGTCATCATTTCCCCTCCCCAGGCGCTAACCCCCAGCTTGGATGCCCAGTTGGCAGTGTTGAGCATTTTGAGACATCCCTCTGATGTGAAAAAGGTGCTGTGTAAATGTTGTTATGTTTCTGGAAGGGAAACACAAAGATTTTGCTTATGCGGCCCACGGACCTTTCCCAAATAAGGCATCCGGCCCTCGGCAGCCAAAAGGTTGGACTGTCCTGGCCTAGTCCATGAAGTCCCAATGTAGAGTTTGAACTCTCCAGACACAGAGACAAGAATGCTACCAACTAAGCAAGCATGATTTCTAAGTAATAAAAATACTAACATCTCATTGTTAAGTTGCAGTTGAAAACTGAATCAAGATGGTTCATACAGTTCAAGCTATTAAATAATACATCATATGGCCTTTTTACATTTTGTGGTATGGATCATTGCACAGGCGTCACTCATTACACCCGCATCACTCTCTCCTCCCTCTCCTCCCTCCAGCAAACCCACCCGCATTTCCCTCCAAAATGTCCGTTCCCTCTCAAACAAAGCCCTCACCATCCATGACCTCATCCTGGACGAGCACCTTTTCATTCTTGGGTTCGCAGACACCTGGCTCTCCCGCAGTGACCCCATCCCCAAATTGAAGCCTCCCCTCCAGGCTACACCTTCTACCACACCCCCCCGTCCAAACCAACATGACGGCGGTGTGGCCCTCATTTCCAAAGCCTCCCTTGGTCTTAACCCTTACTTCTCTGGCTGCTTCCCCTCCTTCGAGCATCTCACCCTCTTCCATCCCTCTCTCCCACTGAAAATCCTCCTTGTCTACCACCCCCTAAGCCCCCTGGCTACTTCCACACAGACATCTCTACTCTCCTCTCTTCCCTGTCCCTCTGCTCGAAACGCCTGCTCATAATGGGCGATTTGAACCTCCACCTAAACTCCATGCACTACTTCTGCCGACTTCGCTGCCCTCCTCCCTAAACCCCACCCTTCACATAAATTCACCCACCCACAACCGTGGTCATGCCCTTGACCTCGTTATCACCCACGGCCTTGAACTTTCCAACCTGAGCATAGTGGACAAGGCCATCTCGGACCACTTCCTCATCTCCTTCTCCTCTCACATCCCTCTCTTCTCCACCAAGCCCTCAACCATTCTCTACCGCCCATGGAAAAGGCTATCCCCTGAGACCCTCACAAAGACCCTCGCATCATCAAATATCCTATCCCTCTGGTCTTCCACCCGCGGAGATCCT